AGGATTTGCAGACATGTTTATATGGACTTTTGTTCTTGTTTCAGTGTGAGGTATCCTTCCCCAAAGTTTGTAAAAAATATTTGATACAGCCTATATATATATATATATATATATATATATATATATATATATATAAAAGTGAACATAGAAGTCAACACTTAGATATGCGACAGTCTGTTTCATGATTGCATATAGGCCTGCAATCGTCTGTCGCCTGACGTGTTGACTATAACATGTTCACTTTTATATTTACACAAACTATCTCTGATATTGAGCACTTTATTCCATAAATATAGCAAACCTTAAGACTATATTTCTGTATATATATATATATATATATATATATATATATAGAGAGAGAGAGAGAGAGTATTATTTTTGGTAATATTTTAATTTTTCTTGGGTATAAATCTTATGTTGTCTTGTGATATAAAACACCTCATCACAACTATTATTAATACTCTAGTGTTTATTCCACTGTTTTTTTCCTTGTCATTATCAATGCAATGACCCTTCCCTTTTTCTTAGAAATAGTTGAATTGATCAACCTGTATGCAAAATCATTTTAAACCTCATTCTAATGTAACTGAGAGTTCTTTAAAAAGAGGTGACACTAAAAGGTAATAGTGTTGAACAAGATATGAGATAAGCTAATATCCTTTTCATCATCTCTTAAGCAAATGAGAAATAATGCATTACTTGATATATTTGAAGCAAAAAAAAAAATAATCGATATGAACTGATGACACAAGTACACTATGGGATTCTTTAAAAAAATACTTTACATCAATTCAGTTTGTTTCAAGATCAACTCAGATATTCATTGAAGTATTGTAGAAAATATTTAATTACTGGTACTCTGTTCATTATAAATATACAGATAAAACAAGCCTATTATGATTATGACATTCACAGACAATCACCCAATTGTCATATTGTCTCATTCTTGATCCCTTTTGTCTTTATTACTCCTTTCTTGTATTATTTATTTTATTTACATGTGGGCTATTGTCCTCATCATTGTTGTAGTTATCACATTGTGGCCCTTGAAAACTCTGGCCTTCCTCAGGCGCTTTACTTGTTCCATAGTTGCAATATCTTTCATGATACAAAAATAACATTACTTGTACATGAAGTCTTTATATGATGTGAAATAATATATAGCAAAATAGTTTTTACAAATCTATTTAAACATAACCATTTTCTTTGTATGAAGAAAGCTCAGCTCCTAGGTTAACTTATACTTATGTAAGAAATAAGTAAAAAATATGACTTAGCATTAAAAAACTTAAAGCTCATAACCTTTGTTTATGATTAGTTATAAATTTGAAAATAGTTTTCATATTGGAAATTATTGTGTGGAAAATAGGATTTAAACTGAGCAGCATTATTCTGTCAAAAATAGGATTTGAACTGAACAACATTATAATGTGGAAAATAGGGTTTGAACTGAGCGATATTATTGTGTCAAAAATAGGATTTGAACAGAATGACATTATTGAGTGGAAAATAGGATTTGAACTGAACAACATTATTGAGTAGAGAATAAGATTTGAACTGAGCAACATTATTGAATGGAGATTAGGATTTGAACTTAACAACAATGAATAAACTGTAACTTAGTTTTTTGAATGCAGTCAGGAATGAATGAAGGTGCAATCTAACTGAAATTTGATGAAGTATAAATTAATCAATCTAATATTGCTCATAAAAGAAATGCAGTTGATGTTAATTAAGTTTTGTTTTTATTAATATACTTTTTAACATGAATACATTTACATCATTATAATGATTTCAATATCAGCCGTGATGAAATCATTGCATAAACCTGACTGTATCAAAATGTAAAGCTAATATAATCTTAAAGCAGCTACTGTACTCCCACGTATCATTCTGTTTGGAGAACATACCAGCAGCAAGAGACTATGTGAAGGCCCAAAACAGTGCTTCAAGGATCAGTTGAAGACATCTCTGACACAGGCCAATGTTGACCCTGAGACCTGGGAAACCATTGCTGCAAATTGGCCTTCCTCGTGTAGGGTCATCTGGAGTTTGGGGTGACTGAGACTTTCAAGTCCAACCATCAACATGCAGAGGATCTGCAATGTGCTGTCAGGAGGGTCCAACAGACCCACCTGTGTCGACCACCCATACTCCTCTGTGACTACTGCTCACAGCTGGGCCTCAACAGCCATCTCTGCTATTGCCACCAGAGGGAAGAAAGGGAATAAGGAGAGCAAATGACAATCCTGATGCTTGGATGTGAGTGGGTGCTGACTAATACTAATAAAAAGACTTATATAATTTGTTCAAAAAACTAATTTTTAATGTAATATCACACAAAATTTTAATGTGTTTATAAATATTTTAAACTAATTTTTCATTAAAAAAGTTGAAATGTTTAAATTTAAAGAATGGCCTTTTATAAAAGTCTAAAGTTAAAAGTAAAACCACAATGTTTGCATTGGGAAAGAAAAAACATTCTCAAGAGAGTCTATCTTTTTGATGAGTGATGTTCATAATAGTGCCAACTTTCTTGACATAACACATCACATAGGGAAAAAAAAGTTACTTTTTATTTCACTTTATAAACTATATTTTTGTCCTCCTTGCTTGTTTTTTTTATGTAAGTCTTTTTCTGATGCCACCTGCCTATCTCCAGGGCCAAACAGCAAGTTTTAGCTTTTTGCTTTTGATATAAAAAGATAAGAATTCAAACTAAAATCTAAGGGACAAGTTTTTCAATATTTTGATAAATATTTGGATGAGACTGTACTGTGACTTTATATTTAAAGAATTTAAACAACATGATTATTAACTTTTGTTGAAATTTTCATTCATTTAAATAAATTTAATTTCCATTTGTTTTTATATTCTGGTAAAACTTGATTTGTATTTATATTTGTTTTTATTGCAATGCTGAGGTCATCCTTATATTTTAAGACAAGGAAGGAAGCCTTCAGGGTCAGAAATTTAAAAATGAGCTTCCACGAGAATAAAGATAAGGAAGTGAATTAAAATCTTGTCAGAAGGTAATTTTTTTGAAAATGGTAACAGAAAGAATAATTATACTCAAAATCAGGAAAAAGCACAACTGAAATTCCTTGGACATAGGATAGATTGGAAAACAACCATTATGGGACATATTAAAGGCATAAAAGATAGGAGAAGGCTGCCAGCCACTTACCTGACAAGCTTGTGTGAATGGATAGTGGAAGAGGGTTGGGAAATGTAGCAAAGGGAGAAACTTCTAAGAACCACAAAGGATAAGAAGTTGGGGAGAGCCATGACTGCTTATATCCTGAAGGGATGTGGCACATAGAAAAATAATAAAATTAGCCATTTTCATACAGGAAGCCTCTGGCATTCACTAACCAAACAATTCCTGTGGTAATGGTAATAGTAAAATTAACCATTTTCATACTGGAAATATTCAGCATTCATTAAACATTAGTTGAAATTTATAAAATCTTTTTCTTAAATGTTTTATCAGAAAATTTGTTTTCTCAAGTTTAATAACTGTTATCACTTTTTCTATAAGTTATGGGAATTTCCTTCTCAAACTTTTGTTTTTGGTAGTGTGGAAAGTTAACATCTTGATTATATCATTATTTTCTGTTCTAGTTACAGTTGCTATCCATTTTAATTGTTGCTACTCTTGGAAGTGTTCAAATGATATGGTTTTTCGTTATTTGGTAAAGGTCTTTGTGATTATGTAGTGCCAGTCTATCGGGTCTGATGAAAAGTTATCTTCTTTAAGATTTAATTGTTTGAAGTGATTGATCATTGCAATGAAAATCTACAAAAATAGGATGAAAATAATACAAATAAAACACTAATAATGATAACAAAACTTCATCTGAAAACTTCAAATAATTTGAGATATTTTAAATATTTTGGCAGCTGTAGTAAAGAAGTGAGTCAAACAAAAATAAATTTACAATCTTCTCCTTTATGTGTTGTGTCCCCTCAGGTTCTAGGCAGTAATGGCTCTCCACAACTTCCTGTCTTTTGTAGCTTTTGATACTGCATTTAAATTTTTGAAGATTATAGTTGACAGGAAAGCAAGAAGCCAGAAAAGAGTTCCACAGATGATGAGTGCAAAAGAAGAAAAACTATTAGCATAGATTTTATAGTCAGAACTATCAATTTCAACAGTGAAATTATGAGACTTAGCTGCCAATCTAGTACTGCACTTAAATTTGTAAATTAACTGTTATCACTCTTTCTATTAGAGATGGGAATTTCCCTCCCAACCTTTTGTTTTTGGTAATGTGTAAAGTTAACATCTTGATTATATCATTATTTTCTGTTCTAGTTACAGTTGCTATCCATTTTAATTGTTGCTGCTCTTGGAAGTGTTCAAATGATATGGTTTTTCGTTATTTGGTAAAGGTCTTTGTGATTTTGTAGTGCCAGTCTATCGGGTCTGATGAAAAGTTATCTTCTTTAAGATTTAATTGCTTGAAGTGATTGATCATTGCAATGAAAATCTACAAAAATAGGATGAAAATAATACAAATAAAACATTAATAATAATAACAAAACTTCATCTGAAAACTTCAAACAGTTTGAGACTCTTTAAATATTTTGTCATAAAGAAGTGAATCAAATAAAAATAAATTTACAATAAATAATTGCAAAAATGTTTTCGACAGTTGCTTGTTGGAAGAGTGATCCGAATATATATAATTTTTTTTAATTATTTCACCCCAAGCAAGAGAATATTGATTTATTTCTTTTATGGATTACCAACCTTTTGCAGGTTATTGAAAGCTGGAAATTAATTTTAGATTATAAGCAATTTATGGAGATAATAATGATTTGCTGATACAAGTCTTAATATTTAACCTATAGCTGGGGGAGAAGATGTGGATTCATACCTTTCCTGAGATATTTGTATGTAAGTGAATATAAGAAAAGTGACTGGAATTGGAACTCTGCTCTCTGATTTCCAATTCTGAGCCATTATCCATTACATCACCCACACATCCAAATTGAGCACATGGTATTCTCATGTGGTCACTCATCTAGGTACTGACCAGGCTCGATGTTGCTTAACTTCAGTGATCGTACAAGAACTATTGTTTCATTGTGATATGGCTGTAAGCCAGCAAGGCAATAAAGCCACAAAAACACAAGGTGAAAGTAACTGATAAAACATTATTGAATAGAAAGGAAATATAAGAAAAGGATTAAAAAAGAAAGAAGATAACAATTGATGCTGCATTTATATTTTTGAAGGTCATATTTGACAAGAAAGAAGCTGGAAGAAAGTTCCACAGTGAAGAAGTGCAAGAGAAGAAACTATTAGAATAGAACTTATGCTTATATTTAGATATTTCAACAGTAAAATTATGAGACCTAGTTGCTAATCTAGTACTTCTCTTAAATTCAAGAAATCAAGGTATCGAGGAAAGTTCTTCAAAACAATCCCTATGAAAATATTTATAGAAAAGGCAAGGGCAAGCTATGTTACACCTGAGGAAAAGTGACTGAAGCTGAGATGCCAGATTAGAACTGATAACATTGCAGATACTTCTTGTTATATACTGTACCTATGAACACTAATGGGTATGTCCCAGTACTCATAAATATGTTAGACACCATTGTAAGTGGGGGTAATATGCTATCTAAGTAGTCCACCACTAGCAGTGGTTTACCTACTTCATTCTGCTGGTGAGTATTATATTTTGTTGATGTTATAAAGATTACCATTTCATTTCCAACCTCTGCTTTGGTTATTCCTCATTTGGTAACCCTTTCTTGGTTACAACACTTCTTCAGATTTTGACCAGAATCTCTAGATACATAACAGAAGCACCAGACCAGATGTGGCAACTATATTCAAAGCATAGATGAATGATGTACTTAATTTCAATATTATTTCATTTCTTTGCATACACTGCAAACATTTAATAAATTAAATTATGACAACAAACAGGTTACTCTTTCTAATACATATCCTCTTTTCACAAAGTATTTTTATGACCTTTCAATGAAAATGTTAAGAGTAAATAGTAATGACAAAAGTATGCAGGTGTAGGCTTTAAGAAAGCTTTATTCAACTGAGAATACAAGATTTGAGTATAGTATCCTTTTATAGTCCCAGTAAACAGAAATAGCTCTCTCAAAGAGGAGCATTACAAAAAAAGGGGAGACCACTCTTGATTACTCATAACAATATTCAATAAAAATAATAATACCACAAAGTGTTTTTAAAGATATTTTCCAAAATTTCACACAAAGATAAGATTTATTTTTCCAAATAATGAAACACGTCTCAAAGGAGAATGAATTTTGATGAAAAAGAAATAAAGAAAGAAAATGTCATTCAACTGCATATATTCAGCCATTCATATTTTTTATATATTAATATTTAGATTATGACTAAGAGGGTACCAGCCAATTAAGAAATGTTTTTACGGCATTAAAAAAATGATTCATAAATACAGGATATTTAATTACCATTTTGCTGCTAGGCAGAACCTATCATCTGCTTCCAAGTTATATTTAAGAAATTTACAGGAAATATTTTTCCAATCTGAAAAAATGATATGAAAATTTTTTCTTCAAATTTTTATTCTATGATCAAACAAAACTTATTAAATTGATGTTTTTTATAAAATTTTGATAATTCCAAATTTGTTGTTTTGAATTAACAAGAAACTGTGAAACATTAAAATAAATAAGAATAACGAATAAATCAAAATGTTTAAAATGTCTGTTTATTATTTACTTAGTGTGTTATGGCCTAAATAGATATTTGCTGCATCTTTTTTTATATTAATGTTCAACCAATACAAGGCCCAAGAGACACTCAAGATAAAGGATTACTGTGTGGTATTGTATGAATGTAAGAAAATGCAAAAAGTGAAGTTTGTTGGGGTTGTGCAGCAAAGATAACCGCTAACCCAAGATGTAAAAAGGTCAAGATTGTAGTGATTGGCAAAACATCCTGCTAGGAGATTGTTCCGCAAAGCAACATTTCTTGGAAAGACACCATTTGAGTGTAACTTACTCCTTACTAATGGAATATGAAGGGGGATAGGGATGATTCATCATTATGTACATGGCAGGGTGGGTTTCAGTTGTAAAGTTCAGGGGTCATGAGACTAAGGAATGTAGCTCATCAGATCACATGCCATGGAAATAGCGATTGAGCAGTGAGAGGCTTACAATATTTCATCTGTGGCAACGGGCTGTAGGATGGGAAATAATTCATCACCCACATGATCGTGTAGATTCTTTTAGGCTTTATCAAAACAGACAAGTGATGACTAAGCAACTCTAGTGCAGATACGACAACAACACTGCATTTTTGGTCTGACCTGGCACTTGCGAAGATAGAGTATCTGCAGCTGGATTTTCAATTTTGCTTTGTAAAGTTCTGTATGTAGTTGTAGATTTACTCAGATTAATATTCTATGATGACAGCAAGAAAAAGACAATGGGAAACCACTCCACTATTTTCCCCAAGAATGTATGGTAATCACAGATAATATGAGAAATCTAAAGAGAGTCATGATTGCCAATGTGAAAGACAAACTAAGAATTGACATGTGGTTGCTGAATAACTGCACATTTATATATTTGTGAAGAGAGTTTTCTGCTTGTATTTTATTCAATAAACACATATATTGCCATTTTGATATATTTGTGTATTGCTCTGGTAGCCTACATAGAATTGAACATCAAAGCAGATTTTGCCAAGCAACATTGTTTTTCTTGAAGACAACCATTGTACTTGTGCGTATGACATAACTAACTAAATATCTCTAATTCTAGAGCCAATCCTCTAATTTAAAGGTCATTTTCGAATTCAGAATTTCAAAATACATAAGAATTGATACATTTTATTTCTGAAGTAGTCAGCTTGTGGAAAACTGTAGACTAGTGTTATTAAGAATTTTGACTTTTTCAGTTTAATTTTTAGTTGATTTTATTGCAACTTGAGCCATCTTTCTTTGAGACTTGTGACTTATCATTTCTTATCTTCTATATACTTTGAACCTTCATAAACATAACTTTGACCTGGAAATGCTATTTTAATAAAAAGAGAATATAAACAAACAAAAATGCATTGCCAGTACTATGAACTACAATTACTATACAACAGGACTATTTCAATTTATTTCCATTTCTTGTTAAATTAGTCTGATAAAATGTGGAATAAATTCTTCTTCTATTTCAAGTGAACTCAAACACCATTCCTGTCTGTGAAAGGAATACACTCCTTGTTGATCCATGTGATTAATGATGTTGTATGAAGAATTGGATTTATTAGTCATGCTGCTTTTCAAATGGTTTCACTTACATTGTAAGTACAATGAAGTAATTTTACAAGCAACCACAGTATTCAGCCAACAAGAATTGGTTGATCTGTGTCATTGTAGTTGACTGCATCAATTACCATCTGCTATTGATCACTGCATATCAAGCAACTGTTTTGGTTTCTTGATGTTTGTCTATCTATGCAACTGGAAGGCTGCTGCCAACTCTAGCATTTTTGTCATTAAAGTTTGCACCTCGAAGTGACAAAAGTTTGGTTTGGCTATGACCCACTGACCTGTCTAGCGAGGTTGGACTTATCAGGAGATAAACTTCAACCCACATAGCTTTCTAGGGCATAGGAGCATGCAAGCCACTCTATGTTAAGATACTGCATCATTAAGTGGGATATATAAGTCATCAAAAATCTATTTGATACCATACACTACAAATTTGAAATAAAAAGCAACTAAAGATTAGTGAAAGAAAATTATTCACCAAAATTAGTAATATTACTCAATGATATATATATATTTTTATAACAGATAATTCATTCATTTAAGGAAAAACTTTAAATCAGTTATAGTTTATAGGTATAGATTATGGTTCATTGTAACAGTCAATTAAATTTTTGAAAGATCATTTTGAAATTATTTTAAAGAAAATGTTTTTTTCATTTCCACTGAGTGCAATTTTAAAAATGAACTGCAGACAAAATAGAATAACTGGTGATCAAGAAATAGTTTAAAAAATTGATGAAAGATGCAAATTAGCACACAGACCTAATCAGAAACTTTTATTTTTATTAATAATATATCCATGTTTTTATTTGCTGATCATAGATATTTATGTCTGAAAGAGCAAAAAGAAAAAAATAACCATGCATTAATATGAACACACACACACATAGATAAATATTCATCTGATGGAAGAAAAAGCAACAGTCTTGAAGATCATTTTACAATAATCATTGTGCTTTGGCTAATAAGCTGTTCTCCAAGACTAAGAGTGGCAAACTCAATGTACCACAATAGAAATTTGAATACCACCTGAAGATGACGTATTCTGATGCTGGGAAAGATATTCCAATCCCTCCTATGAATAACCTTCCTAGATCTCAAGATCCAAAGGTCATGTTTAATGAGAGCAGACTAAAACTGAGGAAAATTTGGGAATTTGTCTGAAAATTCTTTGCCGGTGGTGCACCTGGAATATCCTATGTGTGATGCTGCGATGCTAGAGTTCTTCTTCAAATCGATCAAGTGAGAATTTTGTTTGAATTTTGAAAAGATATAAATCCACAAAATTTTCTTGTTATATGTACTTATCTGTTAAAGTGACATGGACTTAAGTATAATCCAATTAGTAGAGTAAAAATATCTTAGTAGTTTTCCACAGAATTTAAGATTCTGATTATTACTGTATAGTGGATCTAATGTAAATATATTACAGTGTGCAACATATATTTTATGTCATAAAGATATATATCATCGCACACTCCAAAATGTATATTCAACTGTCAATAATTAGCATAATTTAAAAAGGTCTTTTGGTCTACATATATTTCAGCTTAGTGTTTACACATGTATAGGAAAAAATTGCAGCCTGTAGATGACAACTTGAAATTTTTGAAAGTACTTGGCACGTTTCTTCCATCTGACAACAACTTGAATATAAGGATCTTATTATTCAAGGAATTAATAGTGAGTTAATGTTTCATTAAGTCTTTTTAGCGAAGTGATTTTGCCATTAATCACATTAACATTGCTATTTAATTCTTTGTATAACTTGTTTCTTTATCATATAAAATATAAGCTGTATATATATATATATATAT